ATGTGTGAAAGATATTATTGTTATCCACTTGTAACCAACCAATTCCTATAGAGTATTGGAGGCGTTTATTTGTAGTATACCACTTTTACCATGAGGAAGAGAACCGAGAACTAGTTTATTATAAAAATAAATACAACTTTACTACTATTATAATGTCAAAAAACCTTATTCAGAATTTTAGGAGAACGGAACCGTTTTTCAAAAATCAAAACTCCGGCGGGACCATCAGCATGATGGTCACTAAGGTGGTACCAAAATTTACACTAAATTTAATTAGTAGCTATCTAAAAAAATAAGTATCGATATAGTAACACTCATGCGAGTGGTCAAAGATCGGCAAATGATCGGCAGAGAACCGTTTTGGAGAACCGTACGTTGATTGGCTAGATGTTAGAAAAACCCGGCAGATTTTAATTAGTACAGCCAATCAACGTACGGTTCTCCAAAATTTAATTAGGGAACTTTTTTGAAAAGCAAACTCCGGACGATCTTTTTTTCCGAAAAAACACCGGCAAATTTCCCAGCCAATGAATTTCAGTAATTTCGGCTATAATATGTATTAGCGTTTTTTGTTAAATAAATTTAATATAATTAATTAATTAATATATTTTATTGTTTTAAATTCGGATTTTACGAAATAAGAAGTTCATTGAATTATTAATCATTTCCGAATTCGGATTTTACGAATTAGGAAATCAAAGGTTCATTGTCGTTCCAAATCCGTAAAAATACGAAATAAGAAGTTCGTTGTCTCAACGAACTTCTTATTTCGTAAAAATTCGAATTTGGAAATTAATAATTAAAATTGCGAAATTTTTTATGAATTTTGAAAGAAAAAACGAAGAAATTTGTTGAAAAAATGTGAAAAAAGTGTATATTTTCTTAAAAAAATATTATAAATAATGTGTTCTTGGTTTTCTCTTTAATCTTTAAAAATGTCTTTCTCATCTTTTTCAACCACTTCTCAGATTTACGTTAATTTTGTTACATATGATTTTAATCGTCAAGATTTTGATCAATTAATTCAAACGTATTTTGAAGATGAGACAACTTGTCCTTTTACACATATTGTTTATCAATATGAACGAAATTATAATGCTTCTCAAGAGCGAGATTGTCATATACAAGGATTTTTACGTTTGAAGAAAAAAACTAAATTTGGTCATTATAAACCGTCAATTGAAGAAAAAAAGAATAAAATAAATGGTATAAAGGGGGTTTTAAAGATTGATAAAGTACATTTTGAACCTGTTGGAAGTGAGCCAGACTCTATACTCTATTGTAAAAAAACATATAATAAATGTTCAATTCATAATCGAAAAGAAGTTGAACATGATGTAGAACGGTTTTCTAAATATGAATTTATTAGAAATACAATCTCAACTTCTAATAAAAAACGATTAACAAATTGTCGATGTGGTTATGAAGATTTGAATGATTTTTCAGAGTGTAAATGGTGTACTACAAATAAACGCCTCCAATACTCTATAGGAATTGGTTGGTTACAAGTGGATAACAATAATATCTTTCACACAT